TCAGTATGTGGAGTTTTATTAATTTGAGACGAAGAACAAATAGAAAATAAAAAAATAAATTAGTTGAAAGAAGACGCAGGAAAATTACGGAAAATTACATCTTCAGAGATGTTTAGAAACGTTCAGAAATATTTTGAGGACCTCACAGAAGTTCATGGATTTTCAAGAAAGTTAAGGGATTCTTAATAAACTTCCATTAAATTCTGGAACTTCAGGTGAATTAAGAAGAATTTTAGAAACGTTCCGAGTACTTCCGGGAAAAACAAAAATCTCCAGGACAGTTCCATTGAGTTCAGAAAAACTACAAAAAAATGTAGAAGTTTCTAGAAGTTCTGGAAAATGTTTAGACCTTGAGGAATTTTCTGGAACTCCAACAATATTGCGGGACTTAAGAGAAGAATAAGAAGAAGAAGAAAGGAACCTTAAGCAAGTCTAGAGATGTACAGGGAAGTACAAAGATTTTAAGGAAAGTTCCGTGAGCACCAGGGTAGTTTTGCAAACTTCGATAGAACTTCAAGGCACTTCTATTAACTCCTGAAAAATTATGGAAGCTTCAGAAAATAATGTCATGGAATTACAGGGAAATTCAAGAAAGTTTAGAAATTTTTAATGGAAATTATATGAATTTCAGCGTAGTTACAAAAACTTCAGGAATATTCCGGGATCTTTAGGGCTGTTCTTTAAACAACTGGAAAGTTCAGGAACTCTTTGACCTTTGTTTAACTTTTAATTTCTGACTGTAGAAAATAACAGCCACGTTTCAAATTACCTTGATGGGATAGATCAGTGATTAGTGGTTTGGCTTTTCAAGGCGAGGGTCTGGGTCAACTCTAATTGGTGAAAGCATTTTACATCTCAGATATCGATTACTAGCAAATGGAAATCCCTGCTAGTATTTTTAAGATTTATTGCGAGCTATTTGAAGACAAGACAACTTCCCATACCCAAGTGTTATTTAGAAAGATCTAAATTGTGTGTTATATATCACAATTATAGGCACTCTTGTAAGGCATTTGAAGTGAGGTGGAGTGCTCACATATCAAAAATCAGTTAGCAACTAGCTCTAAATTTACCATGACATCACTGGCTATATGGTGTTCTTCGTGCAAGTTGATATAATCTCCCACTCTTACTCTCAAAACAAAAGGAAATATGAGCCCAATTACAAATTGACGAAACAATCTGTCCCCAATCGAAACAAAGGCATCCATTTGGAGAAACCATCTGTCCCCTCCGGCGGCCAACCAAACCGTTGGCGAACCCTTTTCCATGAGCTGAACACGAAGACGATGACAGTGAATCCCTAATGACCACCAGAATGCTCCCCTCTTTTCTCAGGCAGCAAGCCTCCTCCGTCAGGATACCCAACTCACCATCAGGAATGTCGTCGATCCCCGTGCGCCACACCACTTTGTTATCATTTCATAAAATCTATTCCGGGAAATACTTATTCGTAGAGGCTTTTGCCATCGGAGACCTTCGTCTCGAGCGAAATATGATCCCCTGGAGAATCCGCTGGTCGGTTGCTTTGTTTTATGAACTGGCGCAAACATTCCAACTTTTCGGAGTGACTTTCGGACCCCACTTTTGCCAATCTCAGCAGGCTGTGCGGGATTCCGAGAAGGTTTTCCCTCTATCTTATGCAAAGCGGGAGAATCGCTAAGGAGTAACCTTTTCCTGGGCTAAGAAGAGAAGGGTATATTTACGGCGAAAGTAACAAATTTCACATCTACAAGTTTTTCGAGGTCAGTCCACAGGAATGTCGGGATTCAATTAGGGGAACGGTTTGAGAGTTGCGGAATGTGAGGGTTTCAAAACTCCTCGTTTTCGGCTTTCTGATAAGGAAGATATTTATTTATTTTGTTCGTACACTTGTAGTTTGTTCCACACGGCACTTTAAATTAGAATCCAGGTTGCTGCAGCTGCCTCTAATTTGCACCAAATGCAAATGCACGCTGCATACGATTAACACGTGCATGCACTGTTCTGCATGCATCTGTTAAAAATACAACTTTTACAATTTTTTTCCGACTTGGATAATCCAACAAACAGAGGACATGCGATCCAGAGAGCGAGTCAGATTGGCACGGCAGCAAAACAGCATAAAATCGCTTCCGTGTCATTACGGATTTTTCTCACGCTTTTCGCAGCACGTGGCCTTTGCAATAATAACATCAACAACCTGCAGTAGCAGTTCATTCGGAAGTCAGCCAGTCTATGTGTGAGCGTTTAAGCGGCAGGAGCAGCAAGCCATGGAAAGATTTCAGCCCTTTCACCAGACACATCAGAAACGTGTTCCTGCTCTAGAGAAGGAAAATCCGGAAAGCAAAGTAGGCGACGACGACGTGGTTGTTTTATGCTTATGTTAATTAATGTTTTAGCTTTTTCCCATGTAAATTGGTTTGCACAGCTGGTAGCAGTCGTGAATTTTACATCATTGTTAATTTGTTACGTGACTTATACGTAAATCTCTTACCTTGTGCTCAGGGTGCGACGCGGTAAATGCAGTGCTGCCGAGGAGAAAGTTCGGAAAGCATCCAGGATCTCTAACCTACAGATTTAACCAGCATATATTTATCCTAACCACAATTACAACTTTCACTCTAGGTTGAAGGATAAATTTACAAGTGTAAGTGTATTTTTTTTTTGTGGTAACTGTTTAACTTTTCGGCATTCATTTGATTTGACCGCACTCGGAGGGGTCGTCCAACGCTGAACAACCTTACGAAAATTTGATTTTCCCTAGCAAAAGGGAAAACCTCTCGACCCCCCAAATCCATATAAAAGTAACTAGAACAATTTCTAATCTCTCTTTCGCAACGACATGCATCCTTGCACCATGGCATCGTAGTAAGCCAGTGTGGTCAGTATGAGCACCATTGCCAACACCCGACGGATGGGCTCCCCATTGTTTCGAGATGGCCCTCTTGTCTGGAGCGTTCGAGACGAATTTTACGAGACTTTTGGACACTGACTGGCAGCAGACACCAGAGAAACACGTGTTGTAACAGGCAGCTGCTATAATTTCTGTGTGCTTGTTGTTGTGGTTTCTCCGGTATATTCGTCAGTCAGTTTGGGGCCAGTCCACAAACCACAATTGATGCCGCTTCCAGACGGCCACCGGTCAGATTGTCTCCTCGGAGCTCCTTTATCCGGAGGAAAGCCCAAAAATCAATAGTCCAAAAATGACTCGTCTGTGTCTGCTGAACGGGTCATGGGAGCTAGACTAACGCTTCGAAGATGACCACTCGTAAATGTCATCGTAAATTATGGAAGTAGGAGCCCATTCTCTGTGATGGTGGGCCATATGTGGCATTGTGCGCGTCATCATCAAAGGAGGCGATCAGAATGTGATGTCACCATTATTGAGGGAACAAGGCAACCGGTGCCAAATGTGTCGAGAAAGAGAGGGACCGGAGCGATAAATGTGCCAGGAGGCTCTGCTGGCTGATGGTTCATACATATGTCAGCGAGAGGTCAGATGACAGTCGGTTTCTGCTTGGGGAGGCAGGTTGGGGCAGGCAGAGGAAGTTATTAATGGCCTCAACACCTTCCAGCGGGTGGTGCCATAAAAGGGTGCCTCTGAATTTCCGGTCCATTTAGTTCGTTCTTCGCTGCTCTGGCTCGGTGTGAGTGATTGGGACACAAAAGTGCACAATTAGGCTGGGTAAATTTTACCGAAGGACCCAGAATTATTTAATAATGTAATGGCTCAGCTTATGATTGAATCTTGGACTGGCTGTGGTCAAAATCGAGGATGTGACACATGAGAATATTAAATGAGAATTCAAAAACCAGTTCAATTATACCCAGTCAACAATTTGGTCCGTATAATTAAATATATGCATATGTATATACAACATACTAAAATCGTAAATAATGCATAGAAAGCCTATTTGCCCACCAAAGTGGAGGCCATATACGTACTTAACGAAATAAGGTGCATTGAAATTGATTTCATCTGATATGATACATGATGACTTGTGATGTCAAAGCACATGAATTACGATTTAGTTTGTGATTGTTTATTTTTTTTAAATGATAATATGTGACATCGCTGTGATATTATTTACGACTAATGATGGCGTAGAAAATTTAAAAAAAATGACGTTAATAGTCATGAATGGGATGTACACTATGTTATGTTTGTGTAAGATGAAGTTTTATTATTTGTAGCATATGTGAAACTTTATTTTCAATGACATATTATATTGCTTGAACATGGATTTGAATCCTCACCGTCATGAGTGTTGGGTCCTCACAATAACACCGCATCAAATCTGAAAGATGTTCAGATTAAAATTTTATTCATAGATGTACATGATTTCACTAGTTTTAAAAATAGACCATGATTTTCCTTATACGACATTTGCCATATTCCCTTCAGTGTGAAATAAAATATATCGACACATCATCGACTCTAACTTGGCAAATAACACATTTGCAATCGTATTTCTTTTCAAAGTATCTCTTTACCAATAATCTGATTTTGTTCACACATCCCTACGATATAATGTGATTCAAATTAAACGTAATTATGAATGTGTGTTCCATAACTAACAGTGATGCCGATTTTCATATAAACATGTTCACAATGGTTTCTGTATATAATGTTGAATTTTTGATGATTTAATTAGATTCTGAAAGCAGAACTCTGAATTTATTCAAATATATAATATGTTTTGTGAAATGCATAAATAAATGCCTCTACAATCGTAAGACACATCCATTTAAAATAATTGATAAATTTACTCAACTGGAAATTACCATAAATAATACTGGCAGCTCTGACAAATCGAAGTAAACAAATTAAGTTGAATCGGCGCCGTTTTTTGCAGCAATGTTTCATCCTTGTTTGTTTCCGAGTGTGTTTTAATTTGATCAATCCCGAGAAGGTAAGCATCATTATCGAATCGTGAAAAAGTATAAATTTAAATCATTTTAATTGATTTCAGATATATTCTGTTGTCCAGTTCATTGAAAACCAAAAATTCAAAGTGATGGCTGTGCCATCTGGATGGGTGAAGAAAAGTTTTCTGTTTTGGCCAAAACTCCCGAATGTGAAGATTGAAGCCCTACGTGTCAGCGGACAGGACTATAATGGACCCACAAAAAAGATTGCTGTTATTGTTTACAAAACATTCAAAGAACATCACCTGGCGGAAGGAGCAGCTGAGGAGCTCTCGAAGCGGGAAGTATCCGATGTAGATCGCAAGCGGAAGCGCCTCAAACCGACCAGAGGGCCGAAGCCAGTAACCTCGAAAGATTACAACATGATGGTGCAAGGTAAGCTAGACGTTTTTACAGGTTTTTGATAGTGCAAATGAATAAAAACAAATCCAACCTTTCAAATTGTAGTCGTAAGAACCGGAAAGTTCTTTCGGATGCTAATGAAAATTCAGCAAAACATGGAAAACCAGCACTGCATCCTCAGGTCACTATACTCGTGCATGATGATGACGTTCCTGATGAGAATTTGGACACTGCTGAACTCTTACAACCAAATGCTGCTTTTGCAAATATTCCAAGCACCCTGGCTCCTGGGCATCCTGGTACCATGTCATCCAGGTATCAAAACGTTTTTCCGTATCAACTCCCAACTGCTGCTGCGATTGTGAACGAAATGCTGGTACTGCTTCTGCGCTTTCCAATGTTGCTACTGCTCCTGATACTGTTGCTGAGCTTATGCATTCGGCTGAAAACTTGAACGCTGCTGCTCTTCTACATCCGACTGCTGCTACTATGCAATCCGTTCAAACTAATCCTGCTCTCGTTATGCAGTCGAATATCGCCTCCGCCGTACTGCCAATTTCAGTTCAGTCAGTGCAACAAGTGGGGTCAAGCAGTCATGTTCCAATGGACCAGCTACCTACCAACTAAGATGTTGACGGGTATTTTATTAAGATAGTAGTTGTAAATAAGGATTGGACATCTACTTTTTCTTTTTTTTTTACAGGATCGTCTCCGACACATCCGGTAGAATATGATTCTGAGCCCCTATACGTAAATCAGGATGGTGTCATGTATTTTACGCCTTCAGTTGAGAACGCCATGCACGTAACGTAAATGCAGGGGCAGGGGTGTGAATTATTGCAACAATAACAGTGGTTAATTATTGTTCTTAAATTTGATAGGATCAATGAGCTACGAACAGATGAAGGCTGACTTGAAGGTGTTCATCGAAGCGACTGTTGAGAAGGTGGTTGAAACAAGCTTTCAAACCAACTTTGCCCGCTTTGCTGCCTTGTTGGAAATTCAAAGAAAGGATGATTCCAAAAAACTGAAACCTGGTGATTCGGTGGAGAGGCATTCCCGTATCAACACTGAAGACGAGCTAATCCAGTGGAACATAAAGCTAAACAACGAAGAGTTGTGTCGAAAATATGTAAGTACGTTTCTCTTTGAAAAAAAAAAAAAATATGTAAACGCATTTAAAAATTATTGGAATACTTTTCGAAAATTATCATCCCCGATGCCTACAATGACAAAGGTGACAACGCTTGCTACACCGCAGTCGATTGCCTGTTCACACGTGAATTTTGGACGAAGATGACATGGACTGGAATCAGCCGCAGCAATAAAGCGAAAAGGGGTTTCCGTGAATATGGAAATGTGACCCAACTTCTTTGCAGTATTGTACAGATTGGAGATCCATCGTATACTGCAAATAAACTGGAGATGTTTTGTCGAAATCGCTTGTTTCGCTATTGCAAATCCCGGTCCACCAATCGTCAGCTTCGTAAGTCAGCATGTAGACAAAGACACGGCCACAAGTCTAACGCACCTACTCTCGACACAGCAAACGAGGAGATTTCACGAAACTCGAATGACACTGATGTTTCCGAAAACGTCAAACAGGATGCTGGTGATAGTTCGGATGGTGAAAGCGAAGAGGATGAAGTAGAGTCAAACAGCGGAGGAAGTGAAACCGGAAGTAGCACTGAAGATGAATGATTTTATGATTGATTGTTGAAAATATGAGGAGTGAACAGAATATTATTTTTTTTCAATCCATTGTTATCTGTAGCATAAAACAAATAAATAAAAATGAACAAGCAAAAGACACAACAAATACATTTTTAAATACTTTATTTGATACCAACGATATCACAATTGAATCTTCGTCACTGAATAGTATGGATTAAAGGTATAAATACCACCCCTTCGTTTCTGATGAGTGGCACTAATTGCAAAAAAGGTTATTGCTTTTATAATAATTTGTTTTAGATAAGTTTCCTGAATTAAGCTTCGTAATATAAATATGAAGAAACGATGATTTGAACGGTTTTTGGAAGACATCGCATTTAAACATAACTGAGCAATTCTGTTTCTATATGTATACTTCCTGAAAAGCCTACTAGTTTAAATTGTTTTGTTAAAAACCATTTGTCTTTGAAATCATTGCAAAGCGTGAAATTTGAAAATATTAATTTATTATTTGGTCCTTTTTGTTCGACTGTTACATGAAATGGTTTCTGATTTGTTGAAAACTTTGCATTTTTGGAGCTAGCAGCAATCATTGACTCTGATATTCTAGCTGCAACTTGCGCCAATGGATTAGGCCCTGTTCGAACTAACTTTTTTAAGGAATGCATGTAGTTTTCGAATGGATACGCAGAGAGACATGGTAACGGTCCAAAATGTTCAACTTCATCGACTATGTGACATAGGTTATGAACATTGCTAGTTACGTATTCGACACCGTATAATGATTTATAGTTTTCAATGAAATCCAGCAGTAATGATCTAGCTACTGGAATAAGATTCCCGTATTTGTGAGCGGAACAAATTCGAACTGCACAAAAAAGGAAAATAAAGTGGTCATAGTATTTCTCATGGAGGTAATCTTTCAGCAAAACTATGTCAACATAGTTAAAAAAAATGTCGGTTCTCCAGTCCTTTCCAAAGAGTGACATAGTCTAGTGACCGCATTTGGCGATCAATTTCGATAGGAAATTTAATATTAACTAGAATATTGGATATTTCCTTCTTCTGACCACAACTCCACTTTGTGTTCCTGGACATCGAACTCGTACGCCAACCAGTAAGAAGTTTTTTCATCACACCTAGTTCTAGCAAATGCAATGAATCTCCTACAATGACATCTCTTATCATATCAATTGGTAATTTTACCAATGGTGTGCTATTTCGCTGATGGTTTGGATATGCCATCGAACGGAATTCTTCGTCAGTTCTTTTTGGTGCATCTAATTGTGGATATGTCATGGTCCTTGAAATGTGGTTGTATCGGCCTTTTGTAGTACATTTTATACAACCATATTTCCTATTGAAGTTTATTACTCCTTTGATGAATGATCTGGCTGGGGTGTCGCATATGAAGCAACGAATGTTAATCGTTATTTTGTGTCCATTTACGGCGATTCCGGATTCCAACAGCGGAAGGAGTTCGTCAATAAAGGGATTTAAGTATTCATTATTATCTTTCGGTTTTCCAGTGCCATAGAATATTCCTACGACGATTGGCTGAATGCTAGGAAACTCGTGGATATTGCATAAGATTGGCCAGAAATTCTTCGTTGTGCTTTTATAGATGGGTAAACCGTCGATGTTCACATTAACCGAAACAGACATAGGAGTTGTTATATCACAGAATATCCTCTTGAAGCACATCTCGAACCCTTGGTGCCAATATTGACCATGTTCGCCCATTGCACGAATTTGCAAGTTTCTTGGTGTCCTCATGATTGAACGCGGATCTTTTGGAAGATCTAGTCCTAGGTTAGTATTGAGTACATCTATGAGTGATTTCAACGCTAACTGTGAAATTTGATGATCAGTTGACCACTTTCGAATATCTGAAACGATATTTCTTTCGACTACAAATTCATATTAGAAAAGAAGTTACAACTATAAAAGCATATTGTACGTTTACCTTCATGGTCATGTTCATGAGTAAACATATTTTCTCAGAACACCTTGGAACTGAAATTCCTGTAGAGTCTCAGATATTTTTCCCGGAATGAGCTTGAAATTATCCTTGGAATACGCTTGAAATTTTGCTTAAAATCCCTTTGGAATTTCACTCAAAATTTGATTTTTTCGGTATTCTTTTCGAAATTATCTTGGAACTATCTACAGGATGCACTAGAAATTTTTCACAGAATTTTCTTTGAATTCTTCCCAGATATATTTTGGAACTGTCGTAAGAATTTAATATCCTTGATGTTCTTCTCGGAATATAGTAGAACTCTTTTTTCTCAGAATACCTCGGAACTGAAATTCCGCTAAAATTTCAGAAGAATTTCCTCTGTATTCTCCAAAAATTCTTCCCAGATGGAGCTGGAAATTATCCTAGGAATTCCCTTGAAATTTTTCTCAACATCCCTTGGAATTCCATTCAATATTTGATTCTCTCGATATTCTTTTCAAAATTATCTTGCATTCACTAAAAATTATTTTAGAGAATTTTCATGGAATCATCTCCATAAATCTTTTCTTTTGGAACTGCCCTCAGAATTTAATATCCTTGAGGTTTCTTTCACAAAAACGTTGTAGTTTTTTCTACCAGAAATGTTCAATAAAGCTTGTCCCTCCATTCACCAGAACTCTGCAAATCTTACACCAAAAATTGTCAATACATACTTGCCCCTAGAAAATTTCAATTGACCAGAACGGTGCGAATTTTCTACTGTTAATGCTCAATAAAAATTGCTTCTCCAATGATTGGTGCAGATTTACTTTTTTTCCATTTTCCACCAGACATTTTCAATAACTTCCTTCTCCTATCATCAGAATGTTGCAGGTTTTGCACCAAATAAAGCTTGCCCATATTTTCAGATTTTTCATCATAAATGTTCAATAAAGCAGCTTTCCTTCAATCATCAGAATGGTGCAAATTTTACACCAGAAATTATTCTTAAAGTTTGTTTCTCTATTCAGCAGAAGGATGCAAATTTAGGACCAAAAATTTTCTGAAAAGCTTGCCCATCCATTCACCAGAACGGTGCAGATTTTCCACCAGAAATTTTCAATATAGCTTAATTTTAAATAAAACTTGTGCCTTAATTTACCACACCAGTGCAAGTTTTCCACCAGAAGTTTTCTGTCCATTTCATTTATCAGAGCGATGCAAATTTTGCACCAGAAATTTTCAAAAAAGCATGCTCCTCCATTCACCAAAACGGTGCACCAAAAATTGTCAGTGAAGTTTGTTTCACCATGCAGTTTTGTGGTGAAATTTTCGGGCTATGGCTCTTCATGTAATTTTCCACCATAAATGTTCAATGAAGCTTGCATTAATCAGAAAGATGCTACTTATGCACCAGAAAAATGAATAAACCTTGTTTCTACATTCACCACGTTGCAAACTTTCCACCAGAAATTTTCAGTTAAATTAGCACCTCCAAATTTTTAGCGAGATTCCGATTATTCATTTTGATTAGTCCCTCCATGTACCACCTTGATTTTTTCGATTTACCACCACGTAGGTGAATTTTTCTAACCTAAAATTTACCCTCTTCTTTTAACCCTCCATTTACACTTGAATTTTTCTGACCAAAAAATTTCATTGAAGTTTGTCCCTTCATGCACCTTTGTGGTGCAATGTTCAGGCACCATCTCAAAGGTATTGATGCAATAAAAGGTTTTCAGTGCCCTTATATTATGAAATGAAGTTATTTTACCTTCAAATCAAGTTATCAAGAAATCAAGTTATTTTATATGATAATTTTGTAAATATGGAAAAATCTTATTTATAAAAGGAGGGGCAATTGCCCCCACCTTGCCCCACCCTGTGCACGCCAGTGCTTTAGACCAGCAGTTCCTTGGGAAGCTGGGATCGACGACAATTACAATGTTTCCAGCAGCAATCGGTTTTACAGGGTGGTTCAACCCTGCCCGGCGGGTGATTACAGGAGTGTATTCAAGAACCCAGCGTTTCCAAAAATAGTTGGCCAGAATCTGTGATGTTTTCCAGGACTGCCGCATAGCCTGGCATATGGCACCAAAGGTTTAGAACCATTCGATGATCCAACCAAAAATTGGTTCGGTGTCAATGTGGGAGACGATTCATCGTTGACAGGAACATGAGTCAATGGTCTGCTGTTTACAACGTTTTCTATTTCAGCCATCAGGTTCTTTAGGACTTCGTCGGTTGGTAAACGTTTCGGTTTGATTTCAGCTAGAACCTTTTTGACCGTCTGTATCATCCTCTCCCATATGCCACCCATATGTGGCACGCAGATGGGTTGAAGCTCCACGAAGTAGACGCCGTAGTGAACTCAGCCATACTTTTGTTGTTGTCGACGTTCGCTAACGCCTCCATGAGTTGGTCCCTCGGTCGCTTATTATTTGCAGTGGAGTTCCCCGTCTGGAGAAGCAATTCCGTAGGGCCATTATGCACGAGCCCGTTGAGAGAGAGTGGGCTATCTCGATATGGATCGCCCGTGTAGTCAAGCAAGTAACTAACACTTCATAACGTTTCTCGGACCGCCGCCCAACGGTGACCTGGTACGGGCCGAAATAGTCAACCCCTACTTAAGAAAAGGGTCGAACAAAGGCTGCTAGTCACTCTTTTGGAAGGTTCGCCATCATAGGAGGATCAGGCTCAGCCCTCGGATTTTACAACGGGAACACTCGGACTACGGACTCTGTCACACTCCACACGTACTCTTGGAATGTTGAACTTCTTCCAAGCTTCGTTAACGAAGGTTTCGTTGCACTGGTGGTGGTACTTTTCGTGGACGTTCTGAAGCACTAAATGTGTAAGCGGGTTGCGACGTGGTAGTACAATCGGGAACTGCGTCTTTTCGTCAGCAAAATCGCAAACGTCGATACGACTACGTATGCGCATCACATCCGCACCATCAATGAACGGGCTGACCTTGAACAAAGAACTAGTTTTGGGTAAATTTGGCTTACCTGCGGACAATGTCGCCATCTCATCCTGGTAACATGCCCATTGAGCGCGCTTATACAGATAATTGTCCGCGGCT